GGTATCAAATCTTAAGGTATATGTTACAACCTGGTGGTTTCTGTGAAGGGTCTTGTACAATTTTCAGCTATTTTTTAAAACAATTAAAGTGTAAAAAATACTTCATTTTGGTGGTAATGTACATGAAACTGGGGTTTTTTTTTTTGGCGCCATACCAAATCCCATGGTCATTGCCCTTTATCTCCCTTAATCTTAATCACTTTCTTAAATCTGTTGTCAAATTTAAATAATTCTTCTGCAGTGTGGGCTATGCTAATGAAAAATGTGGGTAGATATTAATCTATTTTCTTATGTAAAATATCCTTTGTTATTAGTAGAGCCTCATCCTGTGATATGTTGATATATAAAGATGTAACTCCAGTTTTGTGTTCCTTCACCACAACAAATTCCAATTTATTTATGAAGCTTCTGGAATCCTGCATGTAAGATGGAATTTTTGGTATAAAAGAATTCAGAAAATAATGAACAAATTTTGATTAGGGTTCCAAACCCAACTTTGACTTGAGACAAAAGCTTCCCAATAATAGAGCTTGTCCCTTTATGAATTTTGGGTAAAGTATTTTGCAATGGCCACATGGGTCCCCCTTTTATTTCAATGGAGCTATAAGGATGCCAAGAAAGAGCCCACCCCCCATGTGTCAAGAAGAAGGCACATTGACTCTCAACACAATCAGAGCAGAACTGCAACCACTAGGTAATATTCTTTTTATTTTAATCTGACCTCAGTTGTCTAGACCTAGTGGGTTTGCTAAATTATACCCTAATTCTCAGATGGAGGACATGGTCTTTCTGCATCACCCTTGCTTCTCTGGCCAAGCAGAAACATGCCTGTTTTGAAGAAGAGCTGAATGGAGAGCAGGTGTGTGTATGCATGCATGGCCTGTGGCCTTTTGTTTGAAGAACTGGAGTGTGAAATCCTACCCACAGCTGCCTCCGCCGCAACTTTAAAACAACCACCTTCCTGCTTCCTGCCTCATCTAAGACATATGTACATTGTCAGGAATTTTGGGGTGTGGAAATGGATCTGAGACAAGGCAGTATTCCAGGTCAACAGTAAAGAGACTCTCAGAGATTCCTTTCAGTCATGAATTTACAAAATATGTACAATGGAGTTATGTACAGCAGATTGAACATACACTTACCAGTAAAATAAATGGACAGCACTTTGTGCAGCAACTCTCCATACAAAGCTCCGTCTTCGACTATAGCGTATAGCACTTATATAGTGTGAACAACCAATCAGTGGCACATCGCATGTTGTCCTCTCCTAGACACTACATCATACCCAATACACATTTTGAGTATTTCATCAGCTACATGTGCTGACCTTGTAGCTGCACACCTGTTATAAAACATATTCTAATAGAGCACTCTGGTTCATGTACAAAGAGTACATTCTACATTATGAGCCACAATATCCTGAAAATGTGCCTGGTGAAATTCATGTTGCCAAGAAATTTACATCCAAGAGTAACCTCTTGGCAAACCCCATCTTGCCACAAATGTTTGGACTTTTAGTACTTACTTTGAAGAAGTGGGATTTATCCATGAAAACTTGCATATTGTATGATTTTTTATTATTTGTGGCCTATAAAGGTATCACCTATTCTTGCATTTGTATAAAAGACAGTTGGGGTTGGTATTCAGTAGATATTTGTATTCTTAATTGTTAATGCAATCCAGATTTAAGCCTCCTTCTCTGCTGCTGAATTATATATCTTCCTTCAAGTGTTGTGGTTGCTGTTTCCATGGCTTTGTTATAAAATGTTATAGATGAAGCTGGTTTGGAGGGTAGTAAAGTCAGCTGTGACTATTTCTCATTCTGTACTGGCTGCATTAAAGGTGAGAATAAAGAGGAAAACGAATAACCTAGGACAAATTGTGGCACTTAAAAGAGAAACAAATTTGTTTCTGTGTGAGCTTGAGTCGATCAAGATCCACTTTGGAAGTGTGCCTGAAGAAATGGATTTTGATCCATGAAGCTCACAATGAAACAAATTGGTAAACTTTAAAGTGCCACAATATTCTGTTTTTCTCCTTTCATTTTGACTCCTTCCATATTGCAGGGGTCCCCAACTCCCAGTCTGTGGCCCGGTGCCAGTCCGTGGCCTTGGCAGGACTGGGCCGTGGAGACAGATCTCCTGCACACGTGCATATGCGTGCTCGCATGCCTCACTGATCCGCGCATGCGCACGAACGTGCCCTGCCCACCTGTGAGCCCACCCTGCACGTGCATGAGCGTGCACCCCAACCATCTGCAAGTGTGCCCTGCCCATCTGTGCATTTGTACAAGCATGCCCCGCCCATGCGCTGAGCATGCCCCACCCACCCACAAGTGTGGGGGGTGTCCTGCCCCCCAACTGGTATGCAGTTCGGAAAAGGTTAGGGACCACTGATCTAAGGTACACATTGTGAGGAGTTGGAGTTGGGAAATTAGTCCGCCTACTTCAGCCCCATTTTCATTGCCATCTCCACTTAAAGCCAAGGTGGTAGGATTGCAGCTCTTCCACAGGGAATTCATTGCTTCTGAAGATGGCTCAGATGACAATGTGGCTTGTGCTGTCTTGAGGGTGTAAACTCACTCATGCATACTATTTGAGAGAGTATGGCTTAATAAGAAGCATATACCAAGATCCAGGTCTATAGAGCCTATGTCCTAGGCACACTGTTGTACTGCAGTGAGTCCTGGACCCTTTGTGCATGGCAGGAGAAGAAGCTGAACACGTTCCATATGCGTTGCCTCCAACACATTTTTGGTATCACCTGACAGGACAAAGTTCCAAATAGAGTAGTCCTAGAACTAACTGGAATTTTTAGCATGTATACATTACTGAAACAGCCACATCTATGTTGACTTGGGCATGTCATGAGAATAGCTGACGGTCAGATTCCAAAAGATCTCCTGTATGGAGAATTAGTGCAGGGAAATCACCCCAGAGGGAGACCACAGCTGCGATACAAGGATATCTGCAAGTGGAATTTGAAGGCCTTAGGAATGGACCTCATCAGATGGGAAACCCTGACATCTGAGCGTTCATCCTGGAGGCAGGTGGTGCATCACGGCCTCTCCCAATTTGAAGAGGCAATTGTTCAGCAGGCCGAGGCAAAAAGGCAGTTCCGAAAGCAGCAAAATCAGGGAGCTGGACAGGGGACAGATTGTATTTGTCTTCAGTTTGGAAGGGATTGTCACTCTCAAATTGGCCTTCTCAGCCATGCTAGACACTGGTCCAAGTCCTTCATTCAGAGCACATTACCATAGTGTCTCGAGACTGAAGGATGCCTAATCTAAATTAAGGAATTGAGAAGAACGTACCTATACCTTCCTCTCCTTGCCTTTCTTTTTCTGAAGGATATGCTTTGGAGAATCAGCTATTTGGTGAAAGAAATATTTTGGTATGTGTCTGCATGCTAGTACAGATATTTTCCTCATTTTTAACACATTATTGCTGTGTCTGTGTAAACTCTGCCATTACCTTACAAAATACATGTGTCTAACTGAAAATTGGCATAACTTGCTAGGGGCATTTATCTGAAAAACAAAGTGAAAAATTACAATGTGGAAAAATCCTACATTTGTAAATATTTTTTTCTTCTTCAGATAAATGCCCTAAGTATGGTATGCCTTTTTCATGTAGGATTTTTCCAAATTGTTGTTTTGTATCTGAACATAAGTATGCACTGTTTCCATTCAAAAAGTTCTGATCAGTTTACTATTGCTAAGCTGATGCTTAGAAATGTTGATGTTAAAATGTTGATTATCTTCCTATCTACAGTTGTAGCCTGTTTCCCAAAACATGACTCTTGTGTGTTGTATCCTGCTCTTTGTTTTGACATAAATTAGCAGCATATAGCACCCCTTTTCAGGCTCTGTGATATGTGTTTGGATATTTATTGTTTTGATCAGTACACTTTTCAATAGCTTTCCTATGGTGGTGGAGATTTTTCATTCTAGGTAGTTTTCCTCATTTTATTGTGCTGAGACTCCACATTGAGACTTTCCATTAGATCTCTGAGATTTCCCTGCTTCCTGGAAAAATGAGATGCTGATCTTATTCCTCCTACCTCACACTCATTTTGTGTAGGAAACTGCCAGATTCTGAATGTTTCATGCTCTTTCCTGCACAGGAATTGTAACAATACTTTGCAACTTGGTGCTTCTTACAGCATTTCCATATGAATCCTGCATAGGAAAGATATAATTCTGTGCAGGATTTATAATAATCCTGAGCAATTTAGCGTATATTCCAGAAGAAAAAGACCACTAAACATCTGACAAATCCCATCAGATTTTTTAGGAAAAAATATTATGCTGTAAGGAGGTCTACAAAATTTACATCTGTACTTTGGCTTAGCTGGTATAATAGTTAAAATGTTACTTATTAATATCGGTGGAACTTTAATTGTGATGGGAGCTGGAAAGTAGGACATGGTGTTACCACTAAGCTTTTGTGAAAGAATGCCACAGTTCCAAAAATGGTTTTTAACCTATACAATTTAACTCTGCATCTAAAAGAATAGGTAAATGCATGTTCTGCTTAATATTTATCTCTTTCTTTTGGTGTCTTTCCAGCTTCGTCCAGGAAAGAAGAAACGTGAATGATTTAAGTATCCATTGTTCAGACAATCGTATTACACAAAGTGAGTAAAATTTTGTAACTAGTTATAGATTATACTGAATTATCAGGCAGTGTTAAAAAAACTGATAATGAATATCTTACTTGGGAAATATAAAATGATAAGAAGAACGTTGAGAAAGTAGCATTAATAAACATATTACTGCTGATGAAAAACTTGCATATTTTTAAAGTTACAGTGTGCTCATTTCAGCAAAGTACGTTAATGTTTTCACCTGACAATATTGAGATATTTAAATGATGAAGGAGAAACAGTTCTTGAGGATACTGTATCTTGTAGGGAGGCAGATCTATTCTCAAGAAGAAGAATGCACATAACTTACTGTTGTGATTATTGATACATTTCCTTGTGAAGATGGGCAACTTTTTTGCAACCTGTGGAAAAAGGACATGAGTCACTTGTACATTCACAGCTATTATTTTCACATCTGAGCCTCACAAAACCACTTACATTGTTACATTTCTTTCATTAATATTTAATCAGTAGCCTTTAATCACAGGTGTCTTTGAGTAATAATTTGTAACAAGTGCACACACACTGTAAGTCTCTATATACGATGGCAACTGGGCCATTGTTCAGGAGATGTGTGCCCCCAACAGAGATACAAAGTGGCATGAAATGATGGCAGTGGGAGGCAGTTTCATATATACATCCTGTGAGTTGGTTACCTGTGCTACATTTTCCTTCCTTGAGTTCCGATTGCTTTTCTTTTTTACCCTGGAGTTAGTTTCAGGACAAAATATATAGGGTGGAGTAAGAATTCAACACCTACCATTTTCTATTCCCCACTTTTTCAGCTGAAATCACCTCCCTCTTCATGCTCGTGCTGCATGACTGACCTTCTAGTGTGTGGTCATAGTTCTGTCATGTCTAATTAGGCTTTAAGCAAAGTTAAAATACAGGCTGGATAGCCTGAGGACATTTAAAAATCAAGTTGGTGCTTAAGAAAAGAAAAGAAAATAGTATGCACTTAAACTGATGTCTGTGTGAGTTTGAAGGAGGAAACTTGGGGCAAGAAAAAGAGAAAACACACTATTCCTAGATTTATTTCGTATGACAGAAAGGTACCTTAAATTTCTTCTAGTTCAATTCCTGGTGATCTAAGAAAGCCCTGCTGATAATTCATGATTTATAGTCTCATATACCCCTCAATCCATCTATTTCTCAATTGATTGTATGCTGTCTCTTTATAGTATTTATCCTTTGCTTCTTCACAAAGTGTTCAATGCTCTGGGTGATCTTTAGGCAGTCATTCTGGTCTTCCTCACAGAACTGTGGTTAGGGTAACAACAGGGAGGCATTTATAACTGGAATAAATGTAGGATATAAGTCATAAATAAATGTCATGAAACCAAATTGAAATACTATCAGCAGTGATAGTGCTTTAATCTTGGGTCCTTTTGGAGAGAAAGGCGTCAAAAAAACAAACAAACAAAATCTGTAATCAAAATACCAATCACACTAGCTGGTAGAACCCATTTTGAGAAAAATATTTTCTTACCCAGTACATAGTGAGTGATGGACATGAATGGATCTCTTACATAACAGAGTTCTACCTTGTTAGATAATTTATTTGCATGTACATTATTCGCATATCCTTCAACTTAAACAGCAGCTTCCCTTTTCCTCATACCATGTGATGGACTTTTTACCAGACTCTGCTTGGATTCAGAACTGTTTTGCCGTGGAACTTAGGGCAGAAAATACATTATCTGCCTGAATGTACATCACTAATCATATGATTCTTTGGATCCTGCTGGTGGTTATTAATACATACTGACTTAAATCCTGTTGCATAGTCCATTGAGTAATGTTAGAGTAGGCCCATTTGAATCAGTAGGCAGTTATTGAATCAATGCCTCTGTAAAGTTCCATGGAGTGAAACAGGCCTGCTCTAGTTGCAACTTAAAAGTTACAACTAGAGTAGACCCATATGAATCCATGGAACATATGAAGGAGTTGACTCATCATATCCCCACTTATTCAGTGGGCCTACTCTACAGCAATTTAGAATGCAGCCACATTGGCAAAGATGTAGGAAGTGCTGTGGGATTGGGATGACCTGACTCACATTTTTCCAGTGATCACATGATATAAAAGCAAATGTAAATAGTCTGGATTCTATTCCTCCCAACCAACATTCCCTCTAGGGCATGCAGGTGCATTGGGCACGCACAGCCAAGCAGGTGTGTTTTCACCCATTTGCTTTTGGTTGCAGCTGGAATCTTGCCTGCAGGGGGTGGAGCTTCCATGCAGTGCTCTGGAAAATTACAGGGAACATTGCTTCCAACCCATAGTTTTTGCCTACACCGTTGAGGCTTCTACTTGTTTTACATTGGATCTCTTTGCATTGGTTTAGGCATTGTGTTTATTTGAACAGAGGCAGGATGTTCTTTCTTTGCCATTCCTTAAATAGTTTGATTTGTAGATTTGAAAAAGAAAGATTTCTTTACCCTGCAGTTTCCCACCATCCTTCCTTAAAAGACATCAGCCACTCCTTCTTAAAACTGGACACAGTTTTTCTCAGTTGTACTAAAAGAGAATTATTGAAATGTCCCCAAGGTTCCTTCAGTTTTTCTTTAAACTGAGCACAGGACTCTGCTCAATCTGTGAAAGGAGGAAAGAAGAGGAGGAATTTGCCACTCTACCCTTGTTTACAGCTTATGACTTAGTTCTCCTGTACCTGTGTCTCCTGCAGGAGAGCTACATTAAGGACCTGTGAACAAGGCTGTTCAGCCAATTTCCTCCTTTCCCTCTGCAACCAATTAACCAGAACAGACACAGGGAAACCTTAATTCCCTAGTGTGACTTCAAAGTGACTAAATTAATGTTTCTTTTGACCACATTCTTACTAAGCTAAAGCAAAAGAACTTCACCCATAATATACATGAGGAAAAAGAATTTAAGGAGAGTGTTCTGCTGCCTTTTGCAAAGTTGCTTAACTACCTGGAGTGAACATTTCCTTGCTTCAGTTTAAGACATACCTGCATACATATCTGGGCTCATTTTTTGCTCTACAATTGTCCTGCTGTCAGCTTGAGGCATTTTAAAAATCATGAAACAGCGCTTTCCCCTACCCCTCTCCTTCTTTTGCACCTTGGAAACCACGAGAGTACTTTGAAGGCTGTGATTTTTTATTTTTGGTTCCCCTTTTGGTTTCTTTAGTGTTTAGATTTCAAAAGCTTTTTTTGTCTCAAAAAAGAATCACTACAAATTTCCACTATTCTTCAAGGAATAATGAGTTTCAATTCTCATGATATGAAGATTGGACAGAAAAGATAAAACGTTGTAATGAAACTATTGATTAAAATAATCACAGCCACTGCTCATTTAAGTATGGTTATCGTTGGAACCACAAGTCAAAAGATGAAACTGAGGTGTCATTGAAAAGCCATTGCCGTGTTCCTGGTTCAGTGAGCCACTCACAGAGTGATACCTGAGAAGTATGGGTTAGAATTTATAAGCTCATTAAAAAGTCTCCTGTATTGTGGCTTTCATGAAGCCCTGTGTCCTTGGCTGCTTTCACAGTATGGTTCTGTGGATCATTCTACCATGCCTGCAAGATGTTGTGCATGTGAACTGTGAATGAAATGCCTTAATTTGCTGAATTAAATTAATAGCTTCAGAAGAAGGCTATGTTTGGTGAATGCCACAGAAAGAACCTAGAAGTTAACAGAGAAAATAGATCTGGAAAAAAAATATATATCTGCTGCTAGTTTTACTCTATGTGCACATAAATATGTACTATAAAAGTTGTCTCTGGTTTCCACTAAATTTTCAATGTGGTTTTCCTGCCATTCTTATGCGGAGGGGCAGAGAGGGTCTGAGCAGAAATGAAGCCCGGTGCATTGTACTATTTGGAACGGAAGGGAATTCCTCACAAACCAGAGACCTCACTCGCCTTCTGTTCTCTTCCTGGTCCTCTTCAGTGTTTTGTTTTAAATTATCAGTGGCCATTTTGTAGTTCTAAGGTTTATGGCACCATTTAAAAAGAGAAATGCGTTTCTCTTAAAATGCTAAATTACAAAGTGTAAGAGACCTTTACTTTCCTCCTGATTTTATTGTATTTTAATTGTTTTAGTTTGAGCATTATTGAGAATCCTTTTCTGGGGGACCAAAAAACAGCATGACGTTAAAAAAATAACAATAAAAATGATATTAATAAAGATCCTTGCAGAAGAAGTTGCTAGAATGGAGATGATCATGGGGAAAAAGAAGCTCCACATGCAGGTTCCGGTGTTATTTGTTCACATATACACCATGCTAGCCCCACCCCCTCGGTCTCCAGTTTTGTCAACCTCTTACGTGTGGAGGGCAATGAATCTGAACAGGGGGTGCTTCACTCTCTATGGGAACTCAGTACATGAGCCAGTTAACCTGATTTGTCAAGGTTCTGAGTCATTCTGGGGTAGCAGAGCTGTTCTGCCTTAGGCTGGTTGCCTTCCATGTGTAGAAGGGTGATGGAAGTGACAGTGGGGGAGGGGCTAGAGCACTCAGCTTTGTGTGTGATACGTGTACATCAGCAGATACTGCCTGAATGGACCTTGGCCTTTTATGTCAGTCTCTAGTTTTGCAAAGCCTGCTCTGATATGAAGTTTGATTGTCATTGGTCCTTGCTATCCAGTACATTTTTTTTTTGCGTATTAGTTGAGAGATAATTCCCATTTGGTTTGAAATGATTTTTTCCTCAGGTAGAATATGTAGAACTTCAGTCTAACCACTGACAACTCCAAAGTCAGTAGGAGGAAAAGGTTATGCCTGTGAATCTCTAAATGTCAACTTTGTTCTCTTTCATTAGAACATGCGTGTGAAATGTGCATGCTGTGATGCTGAATTCTTCTGTATAATGGTCCACTCAGACAGTACACACAGAAATATTTCTGTCCTCGCTTAATTTACCAGTTTTCCCCTTCATCATTATTTATTTATTTATTTATTTAATTTATATTCTGCCCACACTACCCAAAGGTCTCTGGGCGGCTTACAGCATTTAAAATACAATAAAGACCATTGAAACATGGTGTTCTCACTAGGATTTTTGGGAAGATTCCATTGCTAAAGCTTTCTTCTATTTTTTTAACTTCTTTTTTGTGTACATTTTTCAACAATGAGGTTTCTGCAAGCCTACAGATGCTTCCCTGTTTCTGCTGATGTTGTTGTTGTTATGTGCTGTCAAGTTGCCTGTGGTGACCCTATGAATGAGTGACCTCCTAAGTGTCCTGCCCTCAGCAGCCCTGCATATTCAAGGCTGTGGCTTCCTTACAAGCAACAATGTTAGCAATCAGGACCTTGGCTTCAACACCATCAGTTTGCCTCTGTTGAAAACATAAGCACTGCATTTGATGGAAGAATTGAGAAAGGGTGAACATAGCTGTGTGATTCACGCATTACAATGACCACAAACGTCTGACAGTCTATTTTCAGACAGAACCACAGTTATAAATGCCCAGGCTTATTCCCAACAAAGAGCCATGTGTGATTCACGCATTACAATGACCACAAACTTCTGACAGCCTATTTTCGGACAGAACCACAGTTATAAATGCACAGGCTTATTCCATCTTGTGTCTTTAACAAAGACCATCAGTGTGTCTTTTTCAAAATGTCTGGCTCAGTCTATCCTACATCCACAGGTTACTGCCATGTACATTTTCTAGCCCCTTACACCATATGACTGATAGTTGCTGGAAGGATCAGGAAAACATATAGGAACTGATATCAAACCATGAAGGTGTATTGAAATACATGGTACTAAATGGGCTAGCGGTGTTGCTGTTACATGCCATCAAGTCACCTCTGATTTACGGTGGCCCTATGAATGGGTTACCTCCAAAGGCCCTGTCCTCAGCTAGCTTGCTTTGCTCTTCCAAACTCAAGGCTATGGCTTCCCTAATAAAGCAAAAAACAAAGTGTGCTCCTTATATACCGCCCCATAGTGCTTCAAGCACTCTCTGGGTGGTTTACAAGTTAATTATGCAGGTTACAGATTGCTCCCCTCCCCCAGTGAGCTGGGTACTCATTTTTACCAACCTCGGAAGGACAGAAGGCTGAGTCAACCTTGAGCCGGCTACCTGGGATTGAATCCCGGGGTTGTGAGCACAGTTTTAGCTGTAGTACAGAGTTATTCCATCTCCTATTTGGTCTTCTTGTTTTTCTGCTGCCTTCAAACATACATACTTCTTATCCAGAAAACCATATTTGTAGATTCTGCTGATAGCGCTTCTCTCATCTGTATCAGCAGTGGCACCTGCAGTCCAAAAGCATAGGAAGGGTGTCCCTTTTCACGAGTTTGAGATGTTCTTTTTTGTAGTAGTGTCGAACTAGTGCATGCTTCAATACAGTGTAATAGAAAATGCAGTAAATAGCAAAAATGGCTCTAGTTCCAAGAAGATTGTGACACTGAGTATGAATATAAGCCACTGGGGTGGGGGGTAACTAGGCTATGTCATGAGGCTTAGGCATTTCTGTAAAATGGGAGTTAAATAAATAGAATTAGCATTGGATGCTCATCATTTCTGAAAAGCATGAACTGGAATGAGGCTATATAAAAGGAGGAGAAGATTACAGGCTTCATTTTTGGTTTGGTTTAAAATTGGCTACTAGCTTCGCAATGCTGGTAACACTGGTACATTTGCTACTTGTTTAGTCAGCTGCAGCTGAGTGACAAAGCTGATAACTGAAAAAAATAGGAAGTCTGAATAGTTTTGTACGCTAATCCCAACCTTTTCCATGGGCTGCATGTTTTGCACATTCATCATTTATTATTACAGTCTACAGTGAGATTTTCATTGTAAAACTAAGCAGCAATATAAACAAACTGAATGATAAGTGTGCATATCTGAAACATCCCTTGTTTTCCTTTGCAGGAGATCCTGCTGAAGAAGAGCCACCTCCTATATCTCCATATGGGGAGACTTTCTTTATTAAGTGCTCAGACAGAGTGGTGAGTTATTTAATAGGAGAATTTCAGTCAGTACGATGTGTGTGTGTGTGTGTGTATGTGAGAAAGAGATTGAGAGAGAGAGAGGGAGAGAGAATTCGTGTGTGTGTGTGTGTGTGTGTGAGAGAGAGAGAGAGAGAGAGAGATTTATTGTATATCTTGTTCACTGAGATTTATTGTATATCTTGTAGAATCTCAGTTTGTGTGAACAGGACTACCCAGTGTCAGTATGGAGAACAGGTTCCATTTCATTCTGGTTTCTGGCATAGTTATGAGATGGAAACTGTTTTGGTCGCTTTAGTGGATGGCCTATGCCAGGAACTGGAAAGGAAGAGTGTGGCCCTGTTGGTTCTACTGGACCTTTCAGCAGCTTTTGATATCATTGACCACAGTATCTGTCTCTCTGGAATTGGACTTGAGGGTGCTATTCTAGGCCTTGGTCCTGCTTGGAGGGGAGAACTCAGAAGGTATTATTGCTGGGTGAGTCTTGTAGCATGTCCTAACTATTGGCCTGTGAAATCCTTCCAGGTTCTGTTTTGATCCCCATGCTATTTAACATCTGCATGAAATTGCTGGGAGAGTTTGTGCATAGTTTTGGGGTTCAGTGTCAACAGTATGCAAATGACACCAAATCTCCTTTCCATCTAACTCTGAGGAAGCCATTTTGGTTTTAAATTGTGGTTGATGTTATTAATGGACTGAATGAGGGTGAAGAAACTGATACTTAATCCAGACGAGGCAGAGCAACTCCTGGTAAGTCAAAAAAGGCAGATCAACGAATAAGGATTTAGCCTGTGTTGGATGGGGTTACACTCACCCTCATAACAAATGTGTGTAGCTTGGATGTGCTCTTCGATTCATCCCTGAGCCTGGATGCCCAGGTTTCAGGAGCGACCAGGAGTGCATTTACACCATTAAAGCTAGTGCTCTAGCTGTGCCTCTTCCTGGGGATGCCTGATCTGGCCCATGGTGGCACATGCCTGAGTTACAGCCTGCTTGGATTACTGCTTGGGACGTGGTGGCACTGCAGGCTAAACCTCAGAAGCCTCTGTGCTGCTGGGTCAGAAGACCAGCAGTCGTAAGATCGAATCCATGTGATGGAATGAACTCCTGTTGCTTGTCCCAGCTCCCGCCAACCTAGAGGTTCGAAAGCATGCAAATGCAAGTAGATAAATAGGGACCACCTCGGTGGGAAGGTAACAGCGTTCCATGTCTAAGTCGCACTGGCCATGTGACCACGGAAGATTGTCTTCAGACAAACGCTGGCTCTATGGCTTGGAAACGGGGGTGAGCACCGCCCCCCAGAGTCAAACACGACTGGACAAAAATTGTCAAGGGGAACCTTTACCTTTACCTGGATTACTGTAACATACTCTACATGGGGATTCCTTTGAAAATAGTTCAAAAAGTTCATCAGGTTCAAAATGCAGCAGCAGCATTGTAAACTGGAGGTGGTTACGGGGCCATGTAACAGAAGAATTGCATCAGCTCAACGACTTTCTGGTCTATTTCTAGGCTGAGTTCAAAGTATTGGTTTTAGCTGATAAAGCTGAAAATGACTTGGATCCAAGTCATATATAAGACTGCATTTCTCTACATGAGCTTGCCTAGTCAGGCCTTTTTCTTCCACTACCCTCATAGGTACATTTGGTGAGGAAATGAGGGAGCGCCTGCTCTCTCACTGCTCCCAGATTCTGAGAACTCCCTCCCACCAGCTGCCAGGCTGGCTCCCTCTTTGCTGGTCTTTGGTGCAGGCAAAGACCTTTCTCTTCAGGCAGGCTTCTTCTCAGTAATTGGCTAAGAGATTTTTTTTTAAAAGGGGGTTGTGAGTTTTGTATTTTATAAAATGTGTTTTTAAAACTGATTTAAATTATTTTCGGCTGCTAGCTTAATAGCATCCTTGTTTGATTATTTTTAGTACTGCAGTAGTTTATTGTTTTAAACGTTTAATGCCATTACAGTGGTGCCTCGACCTACAAACTTAATTGGTTCCGGAACTCCGGTTGTAACTCAAAATGGTTGTAAGTTGAAGCACCATTTCCTATAGGAATGCACTGAAATGCAATTAATCCATTCTGGCCTTCTTTTATCTATACTTTCCCATCCATATTTCGGATCCAGTCATAAAACTGTTTCCATTTTTGAGTCCTTTCTGAGATTATCTTTCATTTAATGCTTTTGTTAGTACATCCATCTCTGCCACTTCCAGTATCTTTTCTATCAGTTCCTCGAATTTCCTTCTTTCTTCCAATATTTTCCATATAATATCCTCACTGCCATAATTACATGTATTATCAAATATCTCATTTCTTTATCTGTAATTTCTGTCATAATATTACAGTGGGGTCTCTACTTAAGAACTTAATCTGTATTGGAAGGTGGTTCTCAAGTTGAAAAGTTCTTATGTTGAATCTGCATTTCCCATAGGAATGCATTGAAAACCATTTAATCCATATCTGCTCTTTTCCGTCCATAGAAACTACAGTGGAACCTCTACTTAAGAACTTAATCCATTTTGGAATGGTGTTCTTAAGTTGAAACGTTCTTACATTGAAGCAAAATTTCCCATAGGAATGGACTGAAAATCAATTAATCCGTTCTGGCTGTTTTTTTGTTATGTAGAGGTGCGTTCGTACATTGAAGCATTAGTTCCCATAGGAACTAATGCAAAGCTGGTTAATACGTACTCTACCACTAGGGGGAGAATTTTTTTTTAACCTAAGATGACCTAAGGTTAAAAAAAGAGCAGGAAAGGTTTTTTTATTCCCTGTTCTTATCTTGGATTTCTGTTCTCAAGTAGAAGCAAAATTTAGCAAATGGAGCTGTTCTTAAGTTGGATTGTTCTTAAGTAGAGACGTTCTTAAGTAGAGACCCTACTGTAAATAGAAACAATTTTGGTTTAAATGGTATCACATATTTTTTGTAACATTTCATGTTAAAGGTAAAGGTTCCCCTTGACATTTAGTCCGGTTGTGTCGGACTTTAGGGCGCGGTGCTCATCCCTGTTTCCAAGCCATAGAGCCAGCCTTTGTCCGAAGACAGTTTCCATGGTCACATGGCCAGCGCAACTAGACATGGAATGCCGTTACCTTCCCACCAAGGTGGTACCTATTTACTTACATTTTTACATGCTTTCGAACTTCTAGGTTGGCAGGAGCTGGGACAAGCGACGGGAGCTCACTCTGTCGCGTGCATGCAATCTTATGACTGCTGGTTTTCTGACCTTGCAGCACAAAGGTTTCTGTGATTTAACCGTCAGTGCCACCATGTCCCTTAACATTTCATGTATTGATCTCCAATAATTTTTTGCTTCCCTGCATGTCCACCAGATATGGTAAAAATGCATTTCACATTTCCAACATTTGTTGGAGGTATTTTTGTACATTTTAGACAATTTGGTTATAGTCACATGCCATCTATAAAACATCTTATATTTACTTTAAAGTTTACTGATTTTGTAAGTTTGATATTATTCTGCCAAATTTGTGCCCACTGTTCTAAGTCAATATTATGACTAAAATTCTGTGCCCATTTTATCATGGTCTTTCACCACTTCATCTTCCATTTCCATATTTAAAAGATATCCATGCATTCTTTTAATTATCATTTGCCTCTAACAGCAGTTTATCAAATGTCATTTGTTCTTCACAGAAACCTATTATTTTATCTTTTGCAAATCTAGAGTTTAATTGTAATCTCTTCCACCAAATAAAAAAAATTCTGCTCCTCTAAACCTTCTCTTGTCTTTAATGCCCCCTCTTTCTTAAGCAAGTCTCTCTACCTCACCAGTCTTACTGAGTCCATTAAAGTAGGCTGTGTAAATGCTTCTAATGGTGACACCTAGCCTGGAATTTTATTATATATTTGTTTTTGTATCTTATTCCAAGTCCATAACAAATACTTTCTTATCATATGACTTTATACTCTTTACCTTTTTGATACCATATAAAAGCATGCCATACTAGGTTAAGACTATGTCCCTCCAATTTAAGCAGTCTCTCATTATCCAGAGTAATCCATACCAGTACACAATCTGGAAGACCAAAGCCCACCCTTTGTTTAGAGTCTTGTAATGCCTTCATTTTGATCCTCAGTTTTTTCCCTTGCCAAACAAATTTCATTATTTTCCTATTGAACTGTAGAAGTGTTTGCTTTAACAGCATTGGTATTGTCTGAAAGAGAAAGATCAGCTTAGGTAACACATTCATTTTAATTACCGTTATTTTCCCCATCAATTAAAGTTGTAACTTATCCCACTTTTCCAAGCCTCTAAAAATCTCCTTTAATAGTTTCATATAATTATCATTTATCAGTGTACTTGTCTTATTTGTTATTTTAATTCCCAAATATTTGATTCTTTTTTCCTCTTGGAAGCCTGTTGTGACTGTCAATTTGTGAACCTCCTCTGTTTGGATATTCTTGCCTAAAATATTTGTTTTCTGTCAATTCACTTTTATTCCTGCCATTTCCCCAAAATGTATTAGTGTTTCCATCAGTTCATCAACTGGGTTCTTTCAAAATAAAAACTAAATCATCAGCAAATGCCTGTAATTTATATTCTTTCCCCCTTATTTTTAGCCCTCTTAAAGAGCCTTGTGGTGCAGTGGTTAAACTGTACTGCAGCCAAAATTGTGCTCATGACCTGGGGTTCAATCCCAGGTAGCCGGCTCAAGGTTGACTCAGCATTCTATCCTTCCGAGGTCAGTAAAATGAGTACCCAGCTCGCTTGGGGGAGGGGCAACGTGTAGCCTGCATAATTAACTTGTAAACCGCCCAGAGAGTGCTTGAAGCACTATGGGGCGGTATATAAGTATAAATAATAATGGGGATAATGGGCAGCCCTGTCCTGTACCTTTCTGTATTTGAATATCTTTTGTAAAGTCTCCATTATTTTTAATTTTAGCTTTTTTTTAAAGTAAAGTCTTCATTATTTTAACTTTAGCTTTGTTTTTAGTATATATGGTCTTTATTTGACCTAATAAATATTTTCCCCCATTTCCATAACTTCTAGTTGCTGTATCATAAAATTCCAATTCAGGTTGTCAAACACCTTTTCCACATCCAGAAAGATCATGGCTATTTATTTCTCTGGATGTACTTCGTAGTGTTCCAGTATGTTTAAAATCCTTTTAAGATTATTTCTCTTTTGTTTTTTCAGAAGGAAGCTGGATTGATCCTCATGAATTACTTGTGAAACAACCTTTTTCGGTCTAGTTGCTAATATTGTAGCATAGATTTTATAATCCACATTTAGGAGTGACATTGATCTGTATTTTTTAATTTCCAGATGATCAGTTTCTTCTTTATGAATAGTAGTAATGCTTCTGTCCATGTTGGCATCATTCAGCCTTCTTCATCTATAACTTCTATTAGTTTCTTATATGGTTTAAGTAATATATCCAAAGTTTTATAATATTCTGCTGGGATCCCATCTCCTCCTGGGGATTTTCCATTCTTTTGCTTCCTAAATGCTTCTACTATTTCATTAAATGAAAATGGTTCATTCAAAATCTGTTTCCATCCGCTTGTTAACTTTATATTGTTGTATTTCCCAAGATACGTATTCTCTCTATTTCTCTTTGGAAATATCTTTTTCCTGATACAGATTTTGATAGAATCTCTCCACAATTTTCTTTATTTCATCTTGTCTATATTTTATCATTACTTCCTCATCTTTCAGGTTTGTGGATTATGGATTTTTCTCTTTCTTTTTGCAATTTATATGCCAGCCACCTTCCTGGTTTGTTTGCATTAAAAAAAGTGTTGCAAATTTTATCCTTTTTGCCATTTGTTCTGTCATCGAGACATTCAGTTGATGTTGTGTTAATTTTATCTTCATCCTCAATTTTGTCATATTTGGGTTTTGCTTTAACTTTTTTTCACATGAAGACAATATTTTTCCAGTTCTTTATATTTTGCCATTCTCTCTCTCTCTCTTATGTCTTGCTGCAATTCTTATTATTAAGCCTCAAAAAAAGACTTTACTTGTTTTCCATACTGTTACCATTGATGTTTCTAGGAGCATACGAAGTTTGAAGAATATATCCATCTCTTTTCTTACTTGTTTTGTAAAAGTATCATTTGTAAAAGGGTTGTATTTAGTTTCCAGTATGACACTTTAGGTCCCATTTCCATTTGTACTAAGATGGGACTATGATCTGCAGATGTGTTAGGCAAAATGTCTATTTCCTTCATCCAGCCTAGAGATATCCAGAATGCATCAATTTTTGACTAGCTTTTATGTCTATCTGAGTAAAATGTAAAACTTCTATGAAGGGAGTGGAGTGGCTAGTGGGGTTATGCCTCGGTGTTGCTTAGGATGAAAGATAAAGAACAAAAGGGTGTTCTGTGTGCCTGTGTTGTCAATGAACTGAAGTGAAGCTAGCACTCTTGTGTAGGTTTACTTTAACAACTTTCTCCAATGCCTAAATTGGCCTTCAGCGAAATAAATAAATAAATGAAATGGTTAATTACTGTGGTGTTCTGTGAGCTAAGGCCAGCTGGAGAATAGTCCATTTTCTGTATTTTCTCTTTTGATTGACAAAGTATACACATTTTTATAGAGCTGGGTTTATAGATATTGGAGTTTTGTTTGCAACCTCACATGCTATCTGTAGTTTGTGACTGCAGGGGCGAGGGGCTTTTCTGAGCTGAGGTGATTGTATATCTGTTCAGCACTAACTGATCATTCCTACCAGTCCTTGAATTCAACGAGAGCCCCACTTCTTTGCTGAGTGTTAGTTTCCCTCTCTTGTTTCTTTACTACAGTATTGATCTGTTCAATTGGTTGCTAAGTATGTTTGCATTACAGAAAGCAACATACCACATCTGTAATTTCAAGTAACTGTAAAGAAATATTTCTTTTTCTTTCTTCTACAAATGTCTCTGAGTGAGTTACTGAGACTTTCAGTTAACGAGAAAGGGACTCTGAGGAACTTGTAGCTGTTCCCCTCTGTGGATCTCTGTACTCCTATTATGTAACAAAACAAGAATTTTAGTAGAAATTCAAATGTGCAACTCTTGATTTCACCTGGGATACTGGGATAAATATTTCAGTCCTACCAGTGAATGCCTTGCTTTAATGTCTGCTGTTATCAGGTGTGACTTGAAGAGCAGAAACCTCTTTGTAATTATTTTGGTTGAGCCTGGGTCTCAAAATGTACTTCAGTGCTGCTTTGTAAATTTAAGATATAAAAATAAATAAAGCAATAATCTGAATAGATGCAACTTCGGGATTTTGATTTTTATGCATACTAACTCTTCTGAAATTAACCATTGTAATTATTTATTTTTTGGAATCTCTCTCTTCCAGGAAATCTGTGGTAAAGAACTTTCAGGCATCCAAGAAGAGAACAGATACACCAAATGCAATAGCAAAATATGGTACTGGATTTAAGCTCGTAATTGCATGGTGATAATGATTGATATTCAACAAGTGTTTTGATTTGAATATTGTGGACTAGAACATGTATTTCAGAATCAAGATTTCATTTTTTCCCATTGGCAAATTATCTTGTTTGCAAACTCTCCAACTTTAGTGTTATAGTGAATAACAGAATTAGTACAGATGGCTGCAGGGACCAATCTGTAGATCTAGAATGATGTGATAGTTACATACCTCTGTATTAGTCACTTCTTTTTGGGGGATTTTTCCCTATTATTTTTCTTAAAAACATATACCTGATTTTGAATGAGCAGCTTGCCATAGTTAAAGCACTTACCTGTATAGATCTACGTACTAATGTCAACTGATTTCACTCATACGTATGCTACTTCTTCTTCGTGGCCTCTGTTGTGTCGTTCTGCATCTTCGTGGCCTCTGTGAATGCACGCAAGTTGTGTCGTTCTGCACCTGCGTTGAACCTCTTGGAAGTTTCTAGAGCTTAAAGATGCATGATTAGTGGGACGTTCCCCCATGGAGCGCATGCTCCGCCCATCACTGATCCCCTCAGTTCCTTTTTTCTGCTGTGTTGGCTATAGACCTGTTTCGGAGATAGCGCGATCTATTGAATTAATACTTCCTATTGAATCAGACGCTCTCTGGCCTTTTACATTGACAGGACCAAATTATTCAGAAAATGAGACTTTTCCTATGTTTTCACAGCCCTCATAAAGGAGCTAGATGGATTGTCCAAACTATCTCATTGGCATATGAGTTAACGGGCAAAACACCTCCTGAACATTTAAAGGCCCATTCTACCAGAGCATTGTCAGCATCTACTGCCTTCCAGTGTGGGATTGAACTCCCTCACATCTGCCGTGCAGAGACATTGTCTACTCCATCGACCTTTGTCAGACATTATCATCTCAATGTCAGGGTACGGAACGGTGCAGAGACATTGTCTACTCCATCGACCTTTGTCAGACATTACCATCTTGATGTCAGGGTACGGAACGGTGCTGGTTTTCGCAGAGCTGTTTTGGCTTCCTTTCTCCCGTGACATCCCACCATCCAGTAAGTGAGCTTGCTAATCACTGAATTGTGTGCATTCACAGAGGCCATGAAGAGGAAAGAGAGATTACCTACCTGTAACCATGGTTCTTCTAGTGGTCCTCTGTGAATCCACACATCCCGCCCATCCTCCCCTCTGTCCGTCACGTTGTACTTTGAAATAGCTCTTTGACAACAGCAGATTTTTACATGAACTGAGGGGATCAGTGATGGAACATCCCATCCATCCTCCCCTCTGTCCGTCACGTTGTGCTTTGAAATAGCTCTTTGACAGCAGCAGATTTTTTACAGGAACTGAGGGGATCAGTGATGGGCGGAGCATGTGCTCCATGGGGGAACGTCCCACTAATAATGTGTCTTTAAGCTCTAGAAACTTCCGGGAGGTTTAGCGCAGGCACAGAACAACTCAATTGTGTGGATTCACAGAGGACCACTCGAAGAACCATGGTTATAGGTAGGTAACCTCTCTTTTTCCATGCCAGGAAAATAGGCAGCAGGAGCATCTATCCCTGCTATGCTATGGGTGGACACTTTGGACTCAGAAGAGTTTTCATCCTAGCTCTAGTAAATCTTTATGGGTGCAGAAGTCACCATAGCTGTTGTCTTATTCAGATGAGGCCTGTCTGTGTAGATGTGAGAAGGTGTGTTTTGACAGAATATAAAGCTAATGCTAAGTAGGTTAGTTGTTTTACTGTGGAAAGTTTGTGGCACTACATCTCTCTGTCTGCCTGGTTTGCACGCACCATTAACATGAGCCATGCCCTTAGCAATATGAGACCATAACTCCATGTTAGGGTATATGCTTTGCTTAGAGAAGATTCTAGTTTGTCCTTGAAATCTCCAGTTAAAAGGCAGACAAGTCTTGGATAACCTGTATTTGATGTTTTAAAGCAGGGGAGATAAACCAGTTACCTCAAAGATATTGATGAAGATATGCTTTGCTTAGAGAAGATTCTAGTTTCAGTCCTTGAAATCTCCAGTTAAAAGGGAGACAGGTCTTGGATAATCTGTATTTGATATTTTAAAGCAGGGGAGATAAACCAGTTTCCTCACAGATATTGATGAACTACTCTCCCATCTTCCCTCTTCATTAGCCAAGCTGATGGGAACTGCAGTCCAAGAAGAGGTAGAGGGTTGCAGGTTCTCCCAGGGACATGTTGGTGATTAAAGGAGATGAAACTGAGATACATAGATAAATGACCTGACTGAATTACAGATATCTTCATATGGTCAGGCAAGGATTAAGGTTGGCTTCAGTATTACTTTTGCTCTTTGCATCTTTTAGGTTGTGTCCAGTGGAACAGGAATAAAGTGATTCAAGATGCATATAATTAATAATGGGAATGCTTGAAAGAAATTGTGCAGGAAAAAAGACTGGCTCTGATGAACTTTGCTTGTTACTTGTTTCAGATGAATATATCCCCATTGCAATAAATATGGTCCTTGACTGCCCTCCCCCTTGCTTCCCGGTAAAATTTTCAGCCCTCTTGAACACACTTACAAAAAAGTTATTTTTACTGAGCACAGTGAGACTCACTGTTAGTGTAAATATGCATAATACCACAATGTTTACAAGATGAGTAGTGAGTAAAAGTAACATTTCATTTGGTCTTGGCTGTCACTTAAAATAATGCAGCACTTCTGGGTTGGAAACAAATTAGATCCATCCTTTCCCTATTGGTCTTGGCTGTCACTTAAAATAATGCACATTCATACAGCACTTCTGGGTTTGAAACAGATTAGATCCATCCTTTCCCTGGTGTTCTAAAAAGTTCAAGAAGAGCTGCATGGCCTGTACAAAATACAGTGCTGGATAGATGATACTTTTATTAGATCACCAAAAACGGCATACCATCTGCTAGCTTTTGTGGATGAGATGCCCACTTTGTCAGGCATGTACCATGTCTTTGAGTCCAAAAATTCTTGTCAGTAGGATCCTCCAGGCCTTCTTAGGCCTTCTTAGATGCAAGTTAGAGAGGGTATGGGCTGTATTGGACTTGTGGTTTTAAAAGCTATTTTTCCCTGTTCCAATATATTTTTTTCCTTGCTAGTCTTTCTCTTCACCCCCCCCCCTTCTGTCTTCACACTGTTCAGTCAGCTCAGTGCTCATGTTCACTTCTGGATTAAAAACCCATGATGGCTGTCTTCCCTTGCACTCCCTAACTCTTTCCACACCAGTCTATCTTCTCCCTGGTACCTTCAGCCTCTACAACTGGAACTGAAGAGTTGTGCAAATGCTGATGATTGGACACTAGTAAAAGCTGATTATCAGTAGACCCAGGAGATTCAACTAACACAGCTTTTCAGCTTGGGAAATTTGTAGTACCTGTTTGTTTTCTAAGATCTCTGAGTACAAATAAAAGTGGTGTTGGGGGAACTGTTTCTGAGTTGCAACCCACGCAATTATGTTATTTATTTAAGTTAGGAAATCAGTAGTATCCATTCCAAATCATAAGTTTCCAGATCTTGTATTTAGAAGATCTTTCAGGATGAATAAACAGTCCAAAGCAGCACTGGCAAAGCTACTTCAGGACATAACAAATCCAGTTATTTTAATTAGTAAGTCATTTCTATCAATGTTAACTTTCATATTTTTAGCTGTTATTGGTTTGGTGCTCTTTCAGGACCAACAGATGGGGTTTGGGGAATTTCTTCCTTCTTTTTTTTTTAGAGAGCCAAGATACTCAGTTGCTTAGGTTGGGACTTCCATAGTGTTTGCAAAAATACTATGTTTTCTAGCTCGCATATTTTGGAGAGCTTTCGGGGGGGGGGACCCCCTTTCAGATATACTGTATTTTAAAAATGTGTATGTACATATTTAAAAACAGATCATTATAGTTTTTAACATTTATAATCAGAAATACTTCAGTTCATTATCAGAATAGTGGGATAGGGAATTATGGTCTTCCAGAGGATTTTGGACTGTCACTGCTATAATCTTTATAATCTTATAATCACTAGACTGCACTAACCAGTGACAATTGTATGAGAACTGCAGGCCACCGACGTCTGAAGAGTCGCCTTCTGGAAGTTGAGTTATGAGTTCCAGATAACCTCCCCTGATTGACTAAGAATCTTCACAGATATACTGAAGAGACACTATTCACCATTCTTGTCTTAATACTGTAAAACCAGTCAAAATGATGTCGTGTTTGTGTTTTTGGGAAACTACAGAGAGAGAGGCTAAGTGTATTCAGTGAATTCATGTCTGTGAAACCTGGAAAATCCTGTTGCTTATATCTATATTTACATATAAATCTGAAAAAATGTTATATTGAACATAGCTCTGCTTCTGTCTTGTATTAGTATGAACCCTGCCAGCTCTCTGAGGATTGGGGATGACCCCTCCTCCATTCTCTCATCAATGGAGTCAACGCCAGAGTCTGTAACAACACTAGAGTTAATTGAATCCAGGGAAAAGGGATCAACATTGAACAATCAACAAACACTTCACTTTTTGAGCTAGTAGACTCCACTAACTCCTGGTCAATGTCTCTGCCTTGGCTCCCCCCAAGTGAACACCACTGAGTGGGGATTACAGTCTAAGGTTAATGTTGGGTGCCAGGTAATTCTGAAACTTTAGGCCCAGAGCAGCAAGGGCGTGCATGCCCATAATGAAGGCAAAGCATACTGCAGAATTTTTGATTTTTGGTTAAATTTCTCTGGCTGCACAGCAGAAATGCAGGGACTTTTCCTTCTAACTTGTCCCCCACTTCATCCAACATGTTTCTTATATCTCCCAGTTCCCAACCCTCTCTGCTCCCTTTTTCCTCCTGTAGATTACATTCTCTTGGGATCGAGCCCACTGCAATCCCCAGAGTATGAGCGGGAAAGACAGTTTCTGTTGCCCCATCATGGAGTGTTAGGGTAGAGCTTTTTGCATTCTCCAGGGTTTTGGAGGGAGGATCATCTGTTAGAGTTGCACCAAACTTTGGGACATGCACGAACTTAATGGACTTCTCCTTTGCCTCTTGTGGGTCAGCCTCTAAAAGTAAACCCTTGGGGCCCTGAGCTGGAGCTACATAGATCGCCCGTGGAAGGCAGCTCCGCCAACTTCCTCACAATTAGTAAGGAAAAAAAATATAAATTATAACAAAGCTTCCAAGTTTTTATGTGAAACTTGGCACATAAAATGTATGTATCACACATCAGAAAAAGTAGGCTTTGTCCACAAAAGCTTATGCCAGATAAAACTTTTTAGTCTTAAATGTGCCACACGACTTCTTGTATATAAAAATGGGTGATGTCCACATCAGAAAAAGTAGGCTTTGTCCACAAGCTTATGCCAGATAAAACCTTTAGTCTTAAATGTGCGACACGACTTCTTGTATATAAAAATGGATGATGTGTTCCTTTTGGCAGGATAGATTGTTACTTTTTATGGTACTGTACTGCTAGAGGATATTTTGCTCTTTTATATGCCAGTTGTTTACAATTATGTTTTAATATCCTCTAGCAAATTCATTCAGTGGATGAATTGAAGTAGCTTTACTTTGTATGCCTTTCCCTTTCAGTGCTCTTAATAATAACCAAACCCCAAAAACATCTGACAATGTAGTGAACAATGAATCGCTGCCCCAAGAAGGTAACACTGCCTCACCGAACAGATTTATTGGTGAATTTGAATATTCTTCAGTGAAAGGATGTGCTCGGAATGGACCAAAAGGAAAATATAAAACTTCAAAAGCCCCCAGAGAGTTCAAAACTGGGCATCTGGACCTTGGTGGTGAAGAGCAGATATTTTTCCCCCAGTCTAGTCACATCGAAGAATCAGTGAGTGGCTCTGGAGATTCAATAACACCCTATGCTTGCTTTTATGGACCAGCAATGAAGAAGACCAAAGAAGGCTGGCTGGATAAGTTATCTCCTCAGGGGTAGGTTATAGAAGAGTGTAACATTACTTAATAGGACTTTGTTATGTGGAAGTCAGGCATGAAAAATCATTGAACCTTCAGCTGTTGGGGTTCTGGCCCCAGCTGACATGGCTAATGGTTAAAGATAATGGGAGTTATAGATTGAAACATCTGGAGAGACAGCAGTTTCTCTGCCCTGATGTAAATTTTCAGTAGTTGTTTCTTCCTTTTTCTCATAAAAGAGTGATAGGCTGGAGACTTGAGGGACAGTAGATGTAGCAGACAGGCAGAGTAATCCTAAGCATGTTTGCTTTGAATTAAGCTCCCTGTGTTAAACAGGGCCTACTTGTTTAAAAAGATGCATAGGATTACTGCCAAATTGTCTACATGTTTTTATGCTTCTGAACTCTGGTTGGTGAGGAACATTAATGGGAGGGTGCTGTTGTATTCGTGCTCTGCATGGTCCAGTCTAGCAGTGAATTTCTGTATTATCTTCATTTTGAACAAACATAACTTTTCCCCCCCTTTGCATGCAGAAAACACGTGTTTCAGAAGCGCTGGGTAAAATTTGATGGTGACAGCATGTCCTATTACAATAATGACAAGGTAAGCTTGTACTATTCAAATGATAAGTGTTCAGCTCAGCTGTTAGTGGTTTGTTATCGTTTACTTAACTGCTGATTACTGGGTTTGAATACATTTCTGGGATAGGAACGTTGCGCATAATCTGTCCTGCTTTATTTCTACCAAAGGTCTAATAGCATAGGTTTTAGAAAATCCTTATATTGAACTTTGTTTGCTTTAAAATACGTATATCCATCAGATGGTTTATAATGTTAGCCTAGAATCACTAAATGAGGAACACATACAAAAGGAAAAGTAAACAGCACAGTCTCAGTTATAGTGCCTTTATGCTGAGTAGTGCTCCCAGCTGTGTGCTTTGTTCTGTTGGTATTCTGTAGAAGCTGGAACCTGACTTGCCTTTAAGATCAGCCCCAAGTAGAGTACATGGCAGTTGTCTTGGTTGATAGGAATGAGCTGAATCTCCAGCATGACTCAGCCATCATATTAGATTTCCACATATTTCCAAGAACATCTTCCTGAAAGTAAGGGCAAGAAACATTCATTTTTAAGAAGCAGAATTTTCTGTCTACACCACATTCTGAATAATTAATTTGAAATTGTATCCAACACACACTTTCAGTATTCCTTCAGGTGTTTAAAATGTGTATTAAAGGAAGAAGAAAGAAAATAACTTGTTTCTGTCATTGGTGAATATTACTCAGCATCATATCCAAATTAGTCATTTTGCCTAGAGGTCAGAAAAGCTACTTTTTCTCAGAACCGACAAACGTTATCTTTTAGCTGAGCAGCTGATTGGAAATAAAGGAAAATCTTATATGTGGAATAGAGATGGGCACAAATTGGGAGAAAAAGGCAATTTGTCATGATTTGTAAGTCATCAAGGTCGATGAATCACAAATTTATGACTTTCCCCCTACAAATCAATGAATTATTTGATTTGTCAGATTGTCTTGACTTTAACACCCTGTAAAATGGCTACTCAGGAGCTTAGAGTCACCAAATTTGCAAAGCCGTTTCCTCTGCTTCTCCTCTACAAGCCCTGCACGTTTGCTGATGTATGGGTTTCGGATGTCTGAGTTATACACTCACAAAGAGGCTCCCCCAGGAAGGTTACCCCAAGTACTTAGAGACACCAGAATAGCAGAGATTCTTCTTCTGACTCTCCTCTACAAGCCCTGCAAGTTTGGTGAAGATTGGGCTTTGGACATCCAAGTTATATACCCACAAAAATTGGTCCCCCCCAGGAAAGTTCCCTTCAGCAACTGGCTTGCAGCAGTGCTAGAATTTCCAAAGCCCAAACTCCACCAAAGTTCAGGGCTTGCAGAGGAGTGCCAGGGGAAGCTCCTCTGCATGTTTGGTGTTTCTAGGTGCAGGAAGTGGTGTGCATTTAATAGCCTGACAAATCAAAAATCACTAAAAACTCATTGGTTTGTATTTGTTCCAGAGAGTTTCATAGCTCTCTGGAATAGATTTGGAGGGCATATGGATGAGAGTGGGTTGCTTTTGGAAGCAGTTTTCTTGCTAGAATCTGTTTCATAAGCAAAACGACCACATTGGGTCTGAGAGTGTGACGACATGGTCAAACACCATGATAAAACTGTTGTTTTCAAAGTATTTTTTACTGTTCACATGACACAAATGCTGATTTGAATTGGTTGGGCTTTTTTTGCTCCCAAAATAGTTTTTTTTCCTCTGCTGCTGGCGGGGGGCTTCTACTTTTCAATTTGGAACAATTCAGACATGCTGCTAGTTGTGATACATTCATGTAAAGATGGGGGGCATGTTTGTAGGTGGTGTTTTGGTTATGTAAGCAGTAGGGGCATTTTGTTAATGCTCAGAGAGACATGCCCCTTTCTTCTCCTCTGATTGTCCTCTGGATTTTTTAAAAAATTCTCTCATATGTGAAATTAGTACTAGATTGCCTATCATCTTGCCTCGGGGTTCTCATTATTATTATTTTCCGCATTTTTGCTACATAAAGAATTGGCGAAGGAAGGGAATGGAAAGGAAGGGAGGAAGGAAGGAAATGGGATGGAGTGTGAATCACATCACATCCAGTATGAATAGCGAACTCCTGAATCAATCTATAGCCCTTGTGTGAGCATTGACTGATTTAAAGATAATGCAGGCTGAAATTTAAATTGCTGTAAAGCTGAATCACTCCAGTTTGGCTTTCCAATGAGACAACATCTGCATGCATATCTTTGTGTTCAAACATGGTCTTTGCAACTGTAGGGCACTCCAGTTCATGCTTTCAGCCAGCACTAGTCTACCCTAAACCTAATCGACCAGGGACTTGGGGACTTATTTATGAGCAATGATGAGGCTTCTGGAATCCCACGGTCCCTGTCATCTATAGCAGAGGCTGTAGCTGGGAAACCTGATGCTTCCATTTTGCTTCTCTTGGGATGATGTCACTGCACATCAGTTTCCAAGTGGTGCGACTGAGGCATCCAAAATAATGGCTCATTTCTTCACAGCATTTCTTTTCCTTGCCTGTGACACATCAGTGTGCTCTAACATGCTTTGGGAATGACTGGAATAAAACAGTGTTGATCCATAATGGAAAGCAACTGTGTGTCCCCTGTCGGTATGGTAGATGCAATATGATGTAGCAGTTAAGAATGGTGTAGTTGGATTGAGAAGGCCCAGTCCAGATCCCCACTTAACTGTCAAATTTATTGGGTTGATCTGAGCCATCCCATCTCGTCCTCTTATTGTGAGGGTAAAAGAGGAAAAGAACTTCATGATACCATGTGCTGCTTGAAAAAAGGGAGGAGAATATAAAAGGTATAATAATAAATAATGATGATCCCTGATGGCCTTTACATTGAGATGGATTACAGTACACCATGAGCAGATTATTAAATCATAAGGACCTGGCAGTTCATTATAGAATTTTTATGTTTTTGTTATTGTTGCTATTGTTAACATTTCTATTCTGCCTTTCCAGGTTTTTTTTTTAAAAAATAGTACTGGAAGCTTGTGCCGTAATTAAAATGAGTGAAAATAATCTAAAAATATCAAAGACAAAAATAAAGCTATAAACTTCATCATAATAATTTAAACAATTAAATCCAACATTTCAGAGCAGCACATAAAAAATTCATCCATATGTTGTGTTTGTGGAAAATTTTCCTTACTGCTAACTTTAGACTTTTGGGACACATTTCTTCAAACTCTTTGTCCCTTTCTTTGAAAAGAGACTGTTAACATTTTCATTGATCTGGAACTGAATATGAAATCTTGTATCTTCTTTGCTTTAAAAAGTTTGAAAGCACTATACCTATTATCATCAAGATGCTGAAGTTATTGTTTTTTAAAATGCTATATGTTTCTTATTTTTGGTTAGTTGCATGTCTAAATTCAGAGGATTGAACAATGCAAAATTCTTTTTTCTGACCATCGTGCAGCTGCAGTACCAGATTTAGTCAGTAGATGCCTGTAGATGCCAGCACAACATTTATCGGAAAGCTCCCAGGAATTTTGTATCTCACTAGACCAATGTAATATAATATAGAAGAATTATGCTTCATGTATGGTAACCACAAAAAGAGGCGTAAGAATGTGTTTGAATGTATGTGCACATGCAACACAGAAAAAGATACACTCTTGCTGTATTTGCTAATATGAATTAGTGATTTTAAGCTGCTAAAGGCAAGGTTGTTTGTGCAACTTTGCAGACACCTTCACTGAAAGGAAATAAAGTATTTCACTCTGAATTTTTTCTAGTAGTCTTTTAGCTCACTTTGCTGTACAGACACTTTAATACAGATAGGATGAACCTATATTGAGGGGAAGAGAAAATGGAGAGTGTGAATTGGTGACAATTCTTCTTGTAACCAGGGCATGGCTGCTAAATTTGCATTATATGGAACCCAGTGCAGTTGTTTTGAAAGTGTGTTTCATTAACACATGATGAGAAGGAAGTGCTACCCTTGACACTTCTGTTGTTGCTTTTCTTACATGAAGGTGGTGGTAGGGAACTGTTCTGTCTCTATAGACTCTCCACATGAGCCAAAATTGTGTTCTGGCTCATGCGGGGAGCCTGGCCAGATAGAATAGCCAAGCTGATGATGGAGGGTACAGGGTTAGCACAATCCTCTCTTTGTACGTGCTTCAAGAACAAATGAATAAGGCCTTGGATGAACTAAAAAGTAGTCCCCCTATAGTGGAGAAATGAGGGCAGTTATTTCTGTGCCATTTTGGAGGTTATGATTTGAGCTTCACAGAGACTTGCCAATGGAATGCATGGGACTACTCCGTAGGGGTGTGCTCGTTCTTGTTGTTGGACTGAAAGTCTCAGAAGCACCCCCAAAGAAGCTCATAAACCCCAGTCAGCAGATTTGTAGGTTTTGCCCCTTCAGAGAAAGGCTTTGCATTGTTGTTGTTGTTGTTTTAATTCTGGCATCATCTGATCTCCTAGCCTTTACTTCCTGTCCTTTTTTTTTAAAAAAAAAGCTGCCCTAGTTGTTTCTAGTGGTCATAATTCTGAGAGCCTAAATGGGAGCCAAATTTCAACTTCCAGGAAGCACTAGAGCAAGCATCCATCCATCCATCCATTCTTTCTTTCTTTCACCAACAGGAAGTAAAGGTGGTGAATGCTAATGGTTCAGGTAAATAATCCTGAAGCTCTTCTCCAGAATGGTGAAACTTACAGTTGTGCTGATTTGGGTTTATGGCCTGTAATTCTTGGAATTCTTGGAGAATTCTGGGATTTACAGTCCAAAACCATGAAAGAGTACACCCTTAAATCTTCCCTTTTTTCTGTTGTGAAACCATGGCTTCTTGTAAAAATGCTTTTTAAAAGAATTTGGATTCTTCAGGAGCAGCAAGAGCAATGGAGCTCTATTTGCTTCTGTCTTTTAAAATGTATTTTAAACCCATTCTTTCTATCAAAGCCCTAGTTCCTTTTTTTCTCTTGATTGCATTTCAGCCCCTTAACTTAAGTGAATAATCTATGAAATAAGATAGCAGTTCTCATACAGATAGGTAGAAAAGAATTACACAACCAACATTTTACTGCTAAAAGTGGAACGCAAAATGCCTCCTATCTCCACTCAGATACAACCATCAACATGAACATATACAAGACACTTAATCTTAGCCAAGTTATTTTGGACCATGAAACAGAAAATCCTGTTAGAGCTGAGAAGGGGGGGGGTCCCTGGCTGTCAACATTATAGCAATAATTATTACAGAACAGTGCTAAATACTGTGCTGTCCTTTCATGACACCCAAAATCTGCAGCTGCTTTACTTTGCTTAATAACAGGGCCACCTTTGGGCTGGGCCTGTTCATGTGACTGAGGGCCCTCCTTTTTGCCATATTGAATATTCTTTCACAAGCATGGTATGTCATTAACTTGGAGATGTATAGTTGCCTGAAGTGAATGGCATCTCGCCTAGATGCCTTTAAAAGAGGATTGGACAGATTTCTGGAGGAAAAGTCCATATAGATTACAAGCCATGACAGAGATGTATAATCTCCAGGCTTAAAAGGAAGGTGCCATATGCAGGGAACTGGTATCAGGAAACAGGTATCTAGTTGTCTCATGTGCTCCCAGGGGCATCTGGTGGGGCCACTGAGAGATACAGGAAGCTCTACTAGATGGGCCCTTGGCCTGATCCAGCAGGGCTCTTCTTATGTTCTTATGTTATGTTCTTATGAATACTTTGAATAAGACAATATGAGACTTCATAATCTCTTTTTGTTGTATTTGGCCACAGGAAGTGTACTCCAAGGGAATAATCTTCCTCTCGGCTATGTCTGCAGTAAGAGGGCATGGGGATAACAAATTCGAAGTCGTTACAGCCCATAGGATATTTGTCTTCCGGGCCGAAAAAGAAGGTAAGATGCATGTTTTATAGGCTTTGACTAGCTGCCATTGTTCAGTTACTTTTCAGTTTGAGGATATCAGGCAATGGTTTCCACGAGTCTTATTAAGGTGTCTCTCAATTAGTTCTAGATGTTGTGGGTTTTATTTTGTATGTAGCTTTTCTTCCAACTGAGAAAATCCCACTTGCTGATTTCAAAGCCATTGGTGAATAGTAATTCAGCAGTTGTGTAAGCACCACTGATTCGTGTGCTATACTTTAGATGGGACCGTCAATTGGATTTAGGTCACTGTGACAAAGGTTAGATTGAGAAACAGGGATTGGTACAAGGACACCCAGTCACATTCACAGCTGAGAAAGGATTTGAACCTGGGGTTGTCTAGTCCAAAATTAATGCTTGAGACACTGTATTATGCTGCTTCTTAAAAAAATAAATTCTTGTTGCCGAAGAGCTTGGAACTTCCGATCAAAACCCAGTCACTCACCCTGGTCACAAATGCATACCTATATGTAAGATATGTACAATGTGGAATCGCCACAGCTATCTCCTTAGAATGGGACTCGAAGGCATTATTTTGCAATGGCTCTGCTCCTTTCTGGAGGGGTTTGCTCAGAATGTCAAAACCCTGGCTAAGAGAGGTTGTCTGGAGTTTGTAGCTTTGCAGCTCGGATTCCAGAATTCAGCCCTGCACCATGAATCCCCAGAATTCGTGGTAGCTAAGACTGTGATTTCCCATTAAATCTAGTGTGCCAGTTATATTCATTCCTAGCGATGTCTTATGTGGCTATAGTGACATGAACCTTAGTTATATCCCTCCTAGAGTACTATAACTCTACACAAGACTTCTTCTGAAAGTGTTCAGAATCTTTAGTTGGCCCCAAATGCTGCAGATGGTTTGCTGACTGGAACTGGTTCAAGGGAGTATATAATTCCCCTTTAACTGGTCTATTTTACTGGTCTGGCTGCTGGTCTGTTTGGGGGCACAATTAAAAGTTCTGATTCTGACCTATGAAGTCCTAAATGACTTGGATCTAAGTTATTTCAAGGACTGTGTTTCTCTTTATGAGCTTCCTCAGGTGTAAAGATAATCAGGATCAGGCTTTCTTTCAGTCCCACCATTTTCACAGGTGGGTTTGTTGGGTATATGGAAGAGGGCCTTCTCTGTTGTTGCTCTGAGACTTTGGGACGCCCTCCCACAGGGGGCCAGGCTCACCCCATTTTTGTTTCCTTCCTCAAGCAGGCGAAGATCTTTCTCTTCAGGCCAGCTTTTGCTTATGACTGGTTGACTGAATGAGGTTTTTTAATGGATAGATGTGCCATGTTGCTTTGAATGCGTTTTTGGTGTTGCTTTTGTTTACCATTTTTAGTATGGTATTTGTTTGATCCTTTTTAGTATATGTATACTTACTGTTTTTAGGTTTAAATATTGTCTTCTAATGAATAAGCTGCCTTTGATCCTTTTTAAGGAGAAAAGTGAGGTAAAATATTTTAAACAATTAAAGTTAAATAAATTTGGAGTCCTGGCCATGACCAATAAAGTCATGTATGACTTGGGTCCAATTTATCTTAAAAGCTGCATCTCCTCAACTGAGCCTCTCTAGCTATGAAGATCTTTAGAGAAGGCTCTGAGTCCTACGTCCAATTTATCTTAAAAGCTGCATCTCCCCAACCGAGCCTCTCTAGCTATTAAGATCTTTAGAGAAGGCTCTGAGTCAAAACCCTGGCTAAGAGAGGTTGTCTGCTTTTGTGGACAGGGTTGTTGAGGATGGAAGAGAGATAATTTCTGTGGCTGCTTCCAGCTTTCACCCCACCTTGGTGTTATCAACCAGGAAGCAAAGATCTTCTTAGGAAGGCTTTTGGTAGGTTTTATGGAGGAACATTGTATGTTCTCATTACTTACCTGCATGTATATTTGTATCTAATTGTTTTTAAGTATTTTTAAACTACATAAATTGGAATCTGTTCTTTGCTTATACTTGTTATTTTATCATTTGTGAGTTGCCTTGGGTGCCTGACTAAAGGTGATATATAAATAAAAGAAATGTGTCATGTGGTGTGTCTGTGCTGCGAGCCAATCAAGCAGAGAAGCAATCATGCAGTAAATACTCAAATATATGAGTCTTTTTTGAAAAATTATTTGCCAGGTGGCTAGCAAAGCCTAAAGAGCTCATCCATAACTAAAAGCTAATCTGAACAGGATGTCAAAACCAACAATTTAAAGGGCACAATTGGTGAAGTCAATAGTTGTCAATGGCCAAATTCATAGGCAGGATAAAAAAGCCTAATGATATTACTGTATTTTTCTGTTTATAAGACAACCCAATGTATAAGACGACCCCTCCCTTTTCTAACCCCCAAATTTGAAAATTTGCACAATCGCACCCCTTTGGTCCTGAAGCCTTTTCATGGCTGCTTCAGGATCAAAGGGGTGCGATCCTGCTGCCCTTTCACGGCTCCTGTACCCTGTGGCTTCACAAAAGGCAGGGAAAGTGGCTGCCTGCTGTGTATAAAATGACCCTCAATTTTTTGTCTAAGTAAAAAGCGTCATTTTATACACAGAAAAATATGGTGATTAAGACTGAGAAAACTAATGGCAGTGGGGGAAAGCATGAGAGAACATAAGAATTTGTAAAACTTGTGAGGTACCATCATGAAACAAAGGAAAAAAAACATGGAACATTCTTCAGAATTTTAATGAAATGATAGAAAACATAGTTCCTTTGGACCTTTCTTAGCACTTCTTAGCTTTTTTGCCAGGTGTTGTAGTATTATTTTACATTCTAAAGACAGGTCTTAAACTCAGCAAAAGAGAGTGTGGTGATTTTATTTTTGTTTATTAACCTTTTAGACTGTGGGGAACTGAATCAATGCAGAAGATGACTATACAACTTAAATTATTTATGGATGGGATAGGGTGGAGAAGAGAAACCAGACAGTCTGGGATTATTAGCAAGGGAAATAAGGTATGAAACACTTCAGTTCACCTGTTAGGTGAAACAAGCTACTGACTCCTGTTAAGTTTATTGGCGGAGGTAAAGTTCACAGGACTATAGGGGAGCCATTTGCCCAAGAATCATTTGCAAGAAAATATATTCAGGGAAATTGCACACGAGGTCAGCTTGTCATAGAGCCATAATGGAGAAAGCCTTTTGTAGAATACTTCCCGTTGACTTGTTAGGTCAGGCTTGTATTTGATAAGTCAATAGATACTCACCCATTGCACAGATGCTGAATTTAGATTTAGATACTGTTTAAAAGGTAATGTCATTGAATTGAGAGGGCTTCCATTGTTTCATTTTAAGCAGTCAAGCCTAGTTGATTTGAGTATCATCAGCACATACCTTACTGCTGAAATATGGAATTTTGGCCCACTCTTTTTTACAATGTTGCTTCAGTTTATTGAGGTTTGTGGGCATTTATTTATCCACAGTTTTCTTAAGGTCCTGCTACAGAATTTCAGTCAGGATGAGGTGTGGACTTTGACTGAGCCATTGCAACACCTTGATTTTATGATGATGATGATGATGATGATGATGATGATGATGATGATGATGATGATGATGATGATGCAGCCATTCTGTTGTAGGTTTGCTGGTGTGCATGATATCATTGTCCTGTTGCATGACCCAATTTTGGCCAAGTTTTAGCTGTCAGACAGACTCTAGAATACTTTGATATACAGAGGAGTTCATCGTCAACTCAATGCCCAGGCCCTGGGGCTGCAAGAAGAAGCCAAAACTATCATCTCTCCACCACTGTGTTTGACAGTTGGTATGAGGTGTTTGTGCTGATATACTGTGTTTAGTTTTCACCAAACGTGATGGTATGCATTATGGCCAGACATCTCCACTTCGGTCTCATCGGTCCAAAGGATATTGTTCCAGAAGTCTTGTGGTTTGTTCAGATGCAACTTTGTGAAGTTGTGCTGCCATGTTGTTTTTAGACAGAAGAGACTTTCTCCTGTTCAGTCTTTTTCTAATGAATGTTAACATTTCACATGCTAACTGAGGCCCATAGAGTCCAAGATGTAGGTCTTGGTTTTTGTTTGTTTGTTTGTTTGTTTTTTGCAATTTCGTCTCACCTTGGGTTAAATTTTCTTGGACATCCACTCCAGGGAAGATTGGCAACTGTCTTGAATGCTTTCCACTTGTGAATAATTTTCCCACTACAGAATGATGGAATTTAAATGGTTTGGAAATGGCCTTATAACCTTTCCCACATTGATAGCAAAGGTAAAGGTTCCCCTTGACAATTTTTGTTGAGTCGTGTTCGACTCTAAGGGGCGGTGCTCATAACCGTTTCCAAGCTATAGAGCCAGCGTTTTGTCTAAAGACAATCTTCCGTGGTCACATGGCCAGTGCGACTTAGACACGGAACGCTGTTACCTTCCCACCAAGGTGGTACCTATTTATCTACTTGCATTTCCATGCTTTCATACCGCTAGGTTGGTGGGAGCTGGGATAAGCGACGGGCATTCACTCCATCTCGTGGATTCGATCTTACGACTGCTTGGTCTTCTGACCCTGCAGCACAGGCTTCTGCGGTTTAGCCCACAGAGCCACCACGTCCCTTCTCACATTGATAGGCAGCAGCAATTGCTTGTCTACACTGCTGATGAGTTTCCTTCTTGGGATTATATTAACACATACCTGAATTCTCCAGACCAGCAAACTGCTAAAACTTTGGCTTTTACTGAGATAGTCATACTTGCTTGTGTTCAGTTACTCAAGGGCATTTGGTTAGCAGCAGCTGGCTTCTGTTTAGCCTCTAAATTCCTGTGGAAGCAGTAAGGGTGTACACATGGCTTTTCCATTTTGGCTTTATGTTTGTAAATTAAATAATGACACAGTGTAATACCCTGCTTTCCCAAAAATAAGACCTAACCTGAAAATAAGCCCTAGTATGATTTTTCAGGATGCTCTTAATATAAGCCCTACCCCCAAAATAAGCCCCGGTTCAGTGAAACCCAGCCCTCCACCATTGTGCAGCATTGTGCAGCAACCAGAAGATGACAGGGTTGTAAAACATCCCTTGAAAATAAGCCCTAATGCGTTTTTGGAGCAAAAAAAATTAATATAAGACACTGTCTTATTTTCGGGAAAACACGGTATGTCATGTGTTGTTCTTCATCTGCGGTTGTATTTACCTAATTTTCAGACCTTCTGAGGACCATAAGATTTTTATTATGTCCTGATACATAAAACCATAGAATTCAAAGAGGGTATGCTTTCTTTTCACGTGACTGTACATATGTAATAGCTTCAAATGTCTCAAATTATTTGGTCTTGTTTATTTGCATGATTTTGAAATATATCATCCTGCCTTTTAGCTGAGTATCCAGGGCTTAAAATAATAAATGGAAAGGCATGAGCAGAACCATTGAGAATCCAACATTAAAATTACATTAAAATATTATGTTTCTATTGCTATAATTCCTTGTTTTGTGACACTTTGTTTTCTTATCTAAAGATGAAAGAGATGACTGGATCAGTACAATTCGTGGTGTTTTGCAGTTGCAGCCTAAAGTCTCTCGAGTGCAAACTACTGCTTTGCCTGAAAAAAGTGGATATCTGGAATTGAAAGGATATAAAGCCAAAATCTTTACCTTGCTGCAAGGAAACAATGTGTGGATTTGCAAAAGTGATCAGGTAAATGCTTAACCTTTTCTTGCTTACATTTTGCATACGGAATTTTGCAGTTGTATTTGTTCTCAAATGAAGGTGACATTACATATTTAGGAGTTGTACACTGCAGAGCACGTATGAAATGATAGTAGGATATAGTTATTTGGTTTTGAAGGCAAGACTTGTCTTAAAATCCAGGGTCAGTTGTGGGTTCTAATTTGAAGAAGCCTCACATAACTCCCCCACCACCTTAGCTAAGGGACCTGCAAATACATTGTAGCTAGATGAAGTACATAAGAATTCATAAACAGTTGGCACATTAGGCATGGCTTGTATGTAGACCTTAATGTGTAGCTAGGGCCAGTTTTGTTTATAGAAGGTCCAGACTAGCATACACAGTAGGATAATTTTATGTGAGCTTTCCTAATTTGCACATCTGAAGCCAATACACAAACCAAAAATACAGCTATCCTTGGGCTTTCACACTTTTTGTGAAGCAGTTCTCCAGTGTTTTTTTTTTAGTATACAAAAATGCATACCTTAGGGAACTTTAATGTAAATGCAGCATCACCATAACAATTCCCCCACTTCCTGATTCCCTGCAGCCCTTGATGCTGCCTGAAAATCTTTTCCAGTAGGCTTCTCACCTCTTTAGAACAATTTTAGGGCACATGAATGATGGCAATAGAAAGTGGGACATGTTCCCTCCCTTCTGTTAAAGGAAAAAGCTCTGTCAGTGGAATGTCACCACTGAATTCTACCCATTAAGTACAAAAATACATGTATTTATGAAAATACACAGGAATGCATTGTCTTAAATTGTCTGCAAAAAAAGAGCAGATATTAGGAGAAAAATGCAGGCCAATTTTTATGCTGACCTTTTATTCAAAAAATCAAAGTGGTGCAGAATCTAGAACAAACTTGTTCATCTCAAATTACTAATCTCTAGTTTGAAAATATATTGTACAGAAATACTGGGACAGACCTGTGTCTGAGACCCTGGAAAAATTACCGTCAGATAGCTTACAGAATAGTGGCTGAGGTAATCTAACAGTCTAATATAGGGTCGTCATTGTTTAGTCGTTTAGTTGTGTCCGACTCTTCGTGACCCCATGGACCAGAGCATGCCAGGCCCTCCTATCTTCCACTGCCTCCCGTAGTAGTGTCAAATTCATGTTGGTTGCTTTGATGACACTGTCCAACCATCTCATCCTCTGTCGTCCCCTTCTCCTCTTGCTGTCACACTTTCCTAACATCAAAGTCTTTTCCAAGGAATCTTCTCTTCTCATGAGATGGCCAAAGTATTGGAGCCTCAGCTTCAGGATCTGTCCTTCCAGTGAGCACTCAGGTTTGATTTCCTTTAGAATTGATGGGCTTGTTCTTTTTTGTAGTCCAGGGGACTCTCAAGAGCCTCCTCCAACACCACAATTCAAAAGCATCAATTCTTCAGCGGTCAGCTTTCTTTATGGTCCAGCTCTCACTTCCATACATCACTACAGGAAAAACCATAGCTTTGACTATGCGGACTTTTGTTGGCAAGGTGATGTCTCTGCTTTTTAGGGTAGTGTCCTGTGTAAAGTCTGGAGGCATATGGTAGCTTTAGATTTATGTAGTAATAGCATACAACTACGTTATGGAGTATGGATCTTCTTAAATGTTATTTCTGTGATATAGTGGTATCCCGGACCGCAACAATATTCTGTTCCCTTGAAATCGCTGTTAAGCAAAAACATCGTCCAGCGAAAAACAGTTCCCCTTTGGAATGCATTGAAACCCATTTAATGTGTTCCAATGGGGAAATTACCTCGTCGTTCAGTGAAGATTGCCCATAGGGGAAGACGTTTTCCGAAAAGTCATCGTCATGCGATTCTGTCGTTCTGTGGGGTTGTCGTCATGCGGGGCACCACTGTATAAGTGAATACTTTCCTGTATGGAGAGCAAAATCCTAACTTTTACTGAGAGTTCTATTAGCTTGTTTTCTGTACTATGTTTGAAAGGGCTAAATTCACAAGTAATTAATGATGAAGAAAGATGGCAATAGCCTTCTCTAGCTGGCTACATTTTTTTTAAAAAATGACAACCGTTCTTCATTTTAATTGGGGCTATGTGTATTCCATGTTGGATTTTTAAAAAAGTGAAATAGGTGGGTTTTCTCCCACAATTGACCAGATAGGCGGGGTATAAATGAAATAAACAAACAAACAAACAAGGAAACCGATATTCTGTGATAGGACTGTCTGGAGTCTGCAATCTGAATTACAGTCTTAAGTAAATTCATGTGGTCTTGCCATGTTATTTTGTCTGATGATGAAAGGATAGAACTCACCTGGCCTCCTTTTATTTTGAGATTTCTATTATTTAGATAAGTTTATTCAGAGTAGTCTCCTGCTTTGCCCGTAACTCAAAATAGTCAAGGACCAACCCTCTTCTTTTTGAGACTTCACTTATACTCGTATCTGCATGCTTCCTTGGCTGGACTTTCCCCCCTCCCCCATCTTCTCAGAATTGGCTGGACTTCTCCCCCACTTATAGAGTGGAAACACTCTATAAGCAAAGTTCTGCTAGCCCACTGGATCATATACACATAGAATGGTGATAATCTCCTTTTTCAATAGTTTAACTATCTCCCCTTTGCCTTATATTTCTGATATTTTGTAATCGGAAAATTATTGATAGACTTGAAATATGTGCCTGATCAGATAGCATTTTAAAAAAAATATGTGTACTTAAAAACTCCAGGTGGCAATGCCGTCTCAAAAAAGAGACCTCTGCAATGAGGAGATGCATAGTACTGGGTGTGGTACAGTATTTTGGTGTGGTTCACATGGAAATGTGTTTTTCCTTTATTCATATGCCAACTGAAACAATAGATGAATTGACAGTTCAGTCCTGTACATATTGACTTAGAAATATGACCCACTGAATACAAATGGGATATTCTGCTAATGACGTGTGTGTAGGACTGCAGAAAATCAGTTGATCACACTATTTGACTTTATCTATTTGCTAGAACTGGGTCCAATTAAACTCAGTGAAACATATCTCTGAAGAGGTATGTATTAGATTGGAATGTAGAGTAACTGGTTCATAGTCATATGTTTGCTGTTTTGGATGTAGCTTAAATGCCAGTAGTGTGCTGTAGCATTTTGGCTTTATTTTCCTTCCAGAAAGGAGTAATATGTAGTGATGATTGATGACTGGGTAATATACTGAGCATCTTGAGAGTCAGAAATCCTTGTCTGTCCTGGAAAAATTCCCTTGGTGCCTTCTAGAGGTTTGCATTAAGACATCTATCTGATCTAATCACAGTGTTGAAGACAGAGCAGATCAAGAAGATATACTGATAACTATTAAATTTGATAGGTAGAAGTCCAATAATATATTACAGCATTTTTCAAAAAGTATAAATGTGATCCTGCATCCATCCTGAAGTTTTTTGATAGTGGAACTTCATGCTTGAAAATAATCTCAAGATTTGAAGTGTTTGATAAAGTAAGACCTTCTGGCAAAACTGAGTCCTAATCTGTGGATATTATTTATATTAGCAGCTTTTCAGCTTAAAACCCATCTCAAAGCAATTTACCCAGAGGGAAAAAAACACATTGAACATTGCTAAGAAAATAAATCAAAGCAAAATACTCTGTTAAAAGCAATGCAACAGCTGTTAAAATAAACATATTGTGGCTAAAGTAAACATGAGTTTTGTCAGAAGAAAGGCAGTCAGATCATGTGACACCCAAAATACAGTGGTTACCACTTAGAGTCTGTGCCTACTTTAAAGTGCTAGTTTTTAATTTTATACAGGGGTGGAGAATGTGCAGTCTTCCAGATGTAGTTCAACTGTATCTCCCTGTGATCTCTTACCATTGACTGTGCTGGCAAGGACTGATTTTGGAGTTTCAGTCCAACAGTCAGGAGAGCCACAGATTCTGCATTCCTCCATTCTAGCCTTAATGGCTTAGGACAGTGTTACTTGAAGGACTGCCTACAGGCATATCAGCCTATATGCAGTTGTAAGATTAGCAGTAGCCTTTCTCACCTGGCCACATTGGTGAGCAGTTACGTTGACGTATGCAGGCTGAGGGGACATTTTCTGCAGGGGTTCAATTCCAAAGTCAGAATGGGATTCTCTGTATCTTTGGATTTCTAATCTACAAGTTCCCCTGTAGTTGTCTGCTGATTTTTATGTGAAAAATGCAAAGGTAAAGATTGGGACCTATGAGAACAGTGATGTTGGGGGACAGAGTCAGATGTATGCCTCACATTCCATATCCACATCAAGTCACATGTGTGCTAGCTCAGATGAAATAGCCAGGTGTGGTTTGCTGTATGCTGAGGTTGTAAATTTCTTATCTCAGTGTGAAAGGGGAAGAAATAAAATAAAGAAAGCTTATGCTCACTTAGTTTCCTTTCAGTACTAAGATATGGATTAGTGTTGCATCTGAATAGACCCTACAAATATTTTAGTATTATTAAAATTGTGCTTAGTATTTATATAGCATTTTAAAATGCCTAGTGTCCTTCACAACCATCATTTCAGTTGATCCATACAGTAGCCCAACAGAATGAGCCATTAAAATTGTCACATTAAAAACAAACACCTAAATGTAAGCTGTGCTCTAATTGTTGAGCATTCTGAAGCCTTCTTGGAAGACACGTAACCCGGAGCCACTGGCTGCTTTCCAGCTTTGCTTCTGAGGCAATTTTCCCACTGACTTTTGCTTTCCAGTATTGTTTCTGTGCCAGTCCCAGCACTTCATGGCTATTAGTCTTTTCATATTGGGAAGGGAAACAAGGACATTTAGCTGCTGAGAGGCACCAGAAGAATGAAAAGAGAACAGTGGCCAGCAGCTGTATGACCCTGTAGACCCTGTTCTGCCTGCATCAACTTGAGAATTCTCAACAGTTAAAGCCTTGACCATGGGTACTTTTCACATGAAGGATCATATTATAATAGTTTTCAACTATGTTTGGGTATGTTTATGCCTTCCCTATGAGTTAGGATCATATGAAACTAAAGCCCC